TTTTGCCGAGCTTTTGCTCGGCTCGACTCGGGCCAAAAAAGCTCGAACCATTTTCTTCGAGTTTCGACTTGTTGCTCATCTCTACTAGTTGACACCCCTAATTGATCCGCCGTAAACGACCCATGAAGGTTAGTAAAATTGGTTTGATTATTAGAAAAAATAAAAGAGTTGTAGAACTCTATCTGACTTTCAGTTTCGATCCTAGCAACTCTTTTATGTCTAAATTCTACTATGATTTTTATTTTTGAAGCATCAATTAATGAATATTTATTTATCTTTAGTATATTTCGCACAATCTTCATCTCTCGTACAATATTCAAGTTTTCAATTGTGACTTAATTTAATCTTTTTAAATTTCCAAAAGAACAGAGAAATAATAAACAATGGGGGTTGACCCACCAAACTCTAAACTGCATTTTTTGTAATATCATGAATATTATGTAACATTACGAAAATTCACAAATATTATTATACGTTCTGCAGAATTGTAGTTAATAAGGTGGATAGTAGGTCTGGACATTTTAATCGGAACCGAAGCTTCCAGTTTGGTTTCCATAAAAAATAAATTATGACTCGAAATCGATAACCAATAACCGATTGGGTTCGGTTCGATTCTTGGTTCTTCAACCAGAACAGTAGGTATTCGAATGAATCTCATTTTTTATATAATTTTTATTTACAATTTATAAGTTGGGTAAAAAAAATACAAAACCTAAAACCCTAATATGGATAGTAATTAATCTAAAACTCTAGATTATAACCCTAAAAAGTCAAGACTGATTCCTACTTTTTCACCTTTTCCACTCACATTAGATTATTACATTTCAGAGATGAGTACATGTTAATCTTTGTAATTTGGACTTTTATGAATCAAAAAGCTTAAGCTATGTTGTAGTGCAACTTGATGGATCAAAGTTTTCAATCTTTACAATTTAAGGGGGTGTTTGGGACAGATTCTTAAATTCTAAAGTAAATCAATTCTCATTTTCAACCACATATTATTTAATAAAATAATATTTTCCATCACATCAATAATTTTTTCTTCTTTCTCAACCACACATTTTCTATCATATCACTATTCAAAAATCAATTCTTCCCCCAAAAATCCCTACCAAACACACTCTAAAATAGTTTACTTTGTTAAATTAAAATAGTTTAAACTTATAGAAAATGATATCTAACATTAATATATTAATAATCAAATG